CACTACTGCTCTTAGGCAGTACGCTGTGGCCCATTTGAAGTCCCCATCGGAGAGCTACTTGTGCCAGAGATTTCCCCAATCGCTCTGCGACCATCTTGAGAACCGGGTTTTCCTGAACCTTTCTCCTTCTATTATCTCTCGCTTGGCTACCCAAGGTGAATATCCCTGGGAACAAAGAAATTAGCTTCCGTTACCGACACAATCAGCCTGCTCAGATGATTCAAAATGGTTGATATTCTTTCGGATCTGCAGACTTACAGACAAGTGAATTCCCTTGGATTGACAAAATTTGTGCAGCTCTGGCTGCTGCCATACAGGGTGAAGTTCCACTTGATTGACAGCAGGAACTATGCGTGCTACTTTCAACAGATACTCGAGCTTCTTCGAAGAGTAATTACTCACACCAATAGCCCGAGCCTTACCAGTATCATATAGGGCTTCCATTGCGCTCCACAATCCGGATATGTCAATTAGAGTCATGTTTTCGGGCTTAACACCAACCGAACCCTTCTTCAAACCGACCGGCCAGTGTATCTTCACGATTCATCAGAATTAGCGACAAATATGATGATGCAAAACATATAACTTCAGATCATTTGACACTTAAATTCAAAGAGGAACAAAGAACATCTACTTTAGCAAAGCTACAAAAAAGTAACTTCATGAAGCAAATACCAGATAGAGATCAACATAGTCAAGCTGCAAATCTTCCAGTGTTTTATTTAAAGCCTCCGGTACATCTTCAGGCAAGTGATGGGTGCACCTGATCATCATTTTACATGGGGAAAAATAAACAAGTCCAACAGAAATAAAAAAAATATGGACACTCAAGTACAACTGCATTACTAAATTCTTCTGATTATAAAACAAGACTATATAAAATGGAGGGGAAAAGGAAAAACCAGAGCTTGGAGGTGATAAATAAGTCCTCACGCTTCACCACACCATTATCAATTAACCCCTTCAAAGCAAAGCCGAGCTGCATGTACCAGAAAAATCATTAATTAATATTAAAAAAATAAGATTTGGGTGAATTTATCAAATTGAGACTGAGAAATCAAAGAAAATTTTTAAATTGATTACCTCCTTCTCATTGCCATAGCTAGAAGCGCAATCAATGTGCCTATACCCAACCTGAATCCAACAATATAAAAGTAAAACCCAGATGGAATTCAACTGAAAATCACAAGCAAAAGACACCCACAGAAGAAAACAAGAAGAAGAAGAAGAAGATACCTTGACAGCAGTAGCGAGAGTGTCTCCAGTAACAGCGTAAGTGCCTAACCCGACGGAGGGAATCTTAGCTCCTGTGTTTAGTTCAAAGAATCTGATTTCATCCGCCATTTTCTTCCAACTATTTCAGAGAAAACAAACAAACCAGCACTTGATAGAAGATTCGAGCATCGACGGTTTCATATTAGAACTGAAAGCTGTCCAATTTAGATTAGTTGCCTATCGTCACCATCGGAGCTGGTAGGTGGTGCATACAGATATTATAATTAAGGGTAAACTACGTATTTAGTTCCTAAACTATTAGTTTTAGTCCGTTTAGTATCTAATCTTTTAATTTTTCATAATCATACCTAAAGTTTAATTTTTTATTTCATTTTAGTACTCATTCAAAATATAACGTTTAGTTTTGAAAACAATTGAAAGTTTAAGTACTAAAACAGAACAAAACTGACAATTTAAGTAATAAACGCATTAAGTTTTTAACGATGAGTATTAAAATAAAACAAAAACGAAACACTATGTATGATTTTTAAAAAAAAATAAAAGTTTAGGCAAACTCGTCTTTGAGCTGGGTAGAAGAGGCACTCGCCCAGTGCCCTCACTTGCTCAAGGACTAAAACTATAAATTTATATATAATTAAAAAGGCTAAATTATTTTTTAATTGCTCAATTATTATTTTATTTTTGTTTTGGCCATCTAATTATTATTTTTCTTCAAAATCATACTTAATGTTATATTTTATTTCTTTGTTGTTACTCATCATTAAAAAATTAACAGCGATGCTAAAGTGATATTTCTAAATTATTTTTTTCACTTTTCATTTAATTATTCTTTAATTTTTTTGTGTAATACTTGTTATTAGGGGCTTAATTTATACATTCGCCCCAGGCCACTAAAATCTCAAAAACATACTTGAGTTTATGTACTAAAACCACCAAAATCGATAGTTTATGTACTAAATATGTAGTTTACCTTATAATTAAGGGTAAACTACGACAACATTCACTTTTTTTTGTTTTATTCACTTTTGCTCTCCAAGTTTTAAAAAATAATATTTCAATCACTTGTGTTATTAATTTATTAAATTTTAAACATTATGTTATCAATCATCACATTTTTTTCATTAAGTTGTTAAGTCGACATGAAATGTTAATAAAAAGTTTTAACTTTTAATTTAATCCTTAAATTTTAGATGAATCATCTTAACCATTAAATTTTTAATAAATATCAATTTAAATTTTAATTTCAACTAAAGTCTCTTATCATCATTCATCACTGTCAGTCACCACTAACCACTTTCATTAACGATCTTTAGAGTCTAAAATTTTCTATTCACTTTTTTTATCTCCTAAATACAAATATAATGTTCATTTCATCAGAAAATACATCTGATTTAACAAACTTAGTCTAAAACTCTTTAATTTCCCTTAAAATTAAATAAGGGTAAACTACATCAGATACCACCAAACTTTAGGCGGCGTATCGTTTACACCACTAAACTTTTAATGTTATCAATTATAACACTGAACTTTAATTTTTGTTTCAATTATATCACTAGGCCATTAAACCTTTAAGAATCATATTAAAACTACGTCATTTTGATGAGGTGTCTACGTCAACAATCGTCAGTCACGTCAGTAGCCGTCAATCACATCATTGTGTCGTTAACGATTTAACGGTTTAGTGGCATAACTGAAACGAAAATCAAAGTTCAATGCTATAATCGATAAAATTGAAAGTTTAGTGGTATAAATAATACAATACCTAAAATTTGGCGGTATCTAATGAAATTTACCCATTAAATAACACACATCATGATCAAATTTATAACTTTACAAGGAAATGAAGCAATGCTACAAGTTTTTCATGACAACCAACATGAACCTTGCTTGCCCCAACCGCAAGTTCAACATACCACATTTGTCATGGTACAAACCTGCCAGACTCTGCACTTCTAGACCCAATTTTGGTTCTTTGTAGTCCACGTTTCGTGTTCACAAGCTACCATTTTGAGCTTTCCTATTGCATACGCATTCTTAATGGAGTTTTACAGCTTATGCCCACCCAAAGATTTCATTTTTCAAGAGAGCAATACAAATGAGTTTTTATTTTTAACGATAGATGTACAAAGTTTGAAAGATTATGTTAATTTTAAAGATATCGTCTATTATAATATTTACATTAATTCAGATGAAATTATTTTTAAGACGTTGACATTTACCATGAAGCAATAATTTATACCATTTTCTTCGTTTGTTAATTATTGTTTATGGTAATCATATGATCTTTCTTTTACCTAGCAACACAAGTGAGTTTCATTTTCTTCATTTTTAAGGCAGTGACACTATTATTTTAATATTCGATGTAGCTCTTAAAATTGGAAAAAGAACCCAATACGACCCTTTGATCAACGATTTTCATCGTTGATCGTTACGATACTAATGTAACACTTTACGGTGATGAAATAACGGTCTACAATGACTGATGATGTGACAGACATGCTAAATTATTTTTTTGGTCTAGTTTAAGAGCTAAATTGCTTTTTTCTATGTTAAAGGACTTATTTGATTTTTTAGAAAAATAAAATATTTTAAAATTTAAAATTTAAAATATACAAATATACAAAAAATAAATAAAAATACTAAAAATAAAAATTAAATTACTAAAATATATATACATTAATAAGAGTTTTATCTTATTTAGTAGTATAATTATATTGTTATATTCATACATTTAAATTCTAATATGAATTTTATCTCATTTTTATTTTGTAGAAAATAGATTATTATCCTTTGGAAAATTAAAAAAAAAAACAGAGGGTGAAAAAAAACCCAAACACGTGGAGTTCATATTCACACTAATGTTAAAAAATTGTATCTAAAAATTATCGGGTTAGGTCGATTTTCTTTTTTTTATATCAAATTTAGGTGAAATTTACTTCATTCTGTCATATTATATTCATTAAAATATTTATCTTAATTGTATAATTATTTTTATATATTTTTAATTATATAAGATAATTTATAATAAACTTTAATTTTATAACTTTTAAATTTTATTTTTAAGATTTATAATGTTTATTTAATTTAATTTTATAGAAAATTAGTGAAATAGAATTACAAAGACATTATAATTAGAGATAAATATATAAAATAAAATTTATACATGATGAAGAGTTTAAATTTATATAAATAAAAATCAAGATAAATTCGAGGTAAAATTATATGTTATTAATTTAATTTTTATTTTTAGTATTTGTATATTTAATTTATCGAATATTTTTTATATTTAAAATTTAAAATATTTTATTTTTTATAAAAAAAATTAAATAAGCATTAAAACTTTAAAAAAAAATAAATTTCACTTTCAAACTTGATAAAAAGTTAATTTAATTCATTTGTCACATCATCGATAAGTGTAAACCGCTACATTAATACTATAAAATGTCACGTCAATAACATATCAATCAACGACGAAAATCAATGATCAAAGGGTCATATAAGAAACCTCGTTTGTACAAAGGGCTCTTCTCTATCTTATAATTACTGTTACATGTGCTGTTATCTAATTTTACAACATTTCCGACCTAATTCGGGAGCATCAGGGATTCAAATAGCGGTCCGCTATCGAAACCAAGGCCGTGACAATCGCAATGACCTCAATAGCATCCACTATTGCCTTAAATCCCTGATCGGGAGGGGAAGCAAACTAAGGTTGGATTCTAAGATCCAGTTAAAAGAGAATCACCCCAACACAGCATATCAATTCATGCCCTCTTCTGAAAATTCATATTATTCTGCATGCAAATTTCCTGATATGGTTTAAAACGCTCTTGCCACTTGGTGAACCGCCTTTTCAAAATCTTGAATCCCTCTAATTCCTGTGGTCTAAAGTTCATGGCAAGAACATCAAACTTCAACTCAATGGGACACAGATCATCGAATAGTTCTAGCCCAACAGTATTCGTCGTGTTGTTAGGATCAGTCTCCTCCTTATGCACTTTGGTAATCATGGTACTATATTTCTCGTCTTTATAAATACGGTTTCCCTGCAGTTGATCAATGCTATGTGACTCACCTGCAACTGGCTGGTATAAAAGGAATGGTTTGGGCCTTTGAGTGTCGACCCACATCTCGTCTCTTTCATCGGCAAGAGAGACGGTTTGATCGTTGTTAAGCGAGCTAGAATCTGATACAGCCATTTCAGTAGCTACCTGCATGACTTCAGTGCACCTGAGGCCAAGCTCCATGTCTGATGAAAATTCAGACATTTTCTCTGAATCAGGACAGCCATTATGAAACTCATGAAGCGTAAGTAGAATTGGGAGAGGAAGAACAGGACCGACAAGTGAATCATCGGGCTGCAGTTTGTGTGACCACTTAGTGCTGCGACATGAAGGCTTCCGTAGTAGGAATGGAGGCAACTGAGGTACGTCGGGAACAACAGAAAATTCCAAAGGCACTGTCTTATCATCAAAGGGTACATCAAGTAACTCGGGATAGCTAGAGAAAGCTAGTATTAAAAGTTCCAAAGGTAAGGTTGCCCACATTTGCTTCAAAGCAACCTCGCATATACTTGTTGCCAAGCTAATGTCATTGAAGACAATGGCAAGTGCAGGAGAAGACCTGAATCGACCAAACCCACAGATCTTCAACTTTTCACACAAAATTTCATGAAAGTCTAGGCTAAAAGATTCCTGAAGAGGACCCTTGTGAGACTTCTTCATCTTGGAATCTAGGACTTTAGCAAGATCGTCATTCAAATACCCACGAAGATACTCAAGGTTCAAATACTTGAATCGTTTAGGAAATTCGTATTCATCATCACCCAAGGAGTATAGTAAGCTACCCTCAAAACTGAACAATGATTCTCTGTGAGCTACATCAAAATTTTGCACCAAATCCCATGAGGCACAATATCGTTGAGCTTCGATCTTTCCTGAAGACATTAACCTAATCAAAGTGAACCCACCGAATTCATCTGACTCATGCACCAGCTCCGACAGATCCCTGCTCAAAATCCCAAAACCAAGGACAATATCTTTCTTCTGTTGCCAATCAATCCATTCAGGAAGTGCACCTTTTGAAAAGTCTTCTCTAACAAGACAACTTCCGCAATGACACTCTTGGTTTGACAATAAGAACTCTGAAGAAAGATCCCACGCCAGAAAGGGTTTACAAAACTGTGAAATTCCCATAGCAATAGATCCTTCATTGGTTAAAGAAGGGCCATAGCAGAACAGCCGGAACTCGCAATTCCAAAATGATCCCAAAATTACACAAAAACCTGATTCGGTTGCCAACTGATATCTATCATCCCTTGATTGTGATCTTAATTCCGATAACCTAATCACAACAATAAAGCATGGATTATCAAGATCATGAGCCCATCGCAACAATGGCATCATCGGTTTACGCACATCACAAAGAAGTAACAAGCTTCGGCAAGCCAAAGCAAACTGAAACCCATCAGCTCCTGCTCTAGAAAATGCTAGGAACTGATCTTCATCAACCACATTATAAGGGCTCAACATGTCAATCTTAGCTAAACAAATTACATTACACTCATTGCGCCTAAAATCAAGTAAAAAAACAGCATCTGATCGGGCAACAACCAAAATCCTAGGATGCCAACTAAACTCAATACCCAACCATTTATAATTCCTTGAACCACTGGAATCATCCCAAAATACTCTAAATTTACTCCCTTTAAGATACTCGTTGGGTTTCTGAGAATCAACATGGGAAGCTAAATCAAACAAGAACAGTGAACCATTCTCTAACAAAACCATACTTTCTTCAGGTATATGTGGACTGAAACAAGAACAAACAATCGATGAACGCTTGAATAACTTACAGCCTATGTAAACCAGAGCAGGGTTTTGGTTAACAAGTCTAACAGAATACCAATGAACGGCATATAAGTAGAAGCCATTAAATACCCAACAACAGAATCACCTGAAACCTCGGCGAAATCATCAACTGGGTTCACCAGAATACTCAAAATTTTGTGATTTAAGTGGTTGTTAGAAACAAAGACGTCGCCATTCCGATCACCCAGAAACTTAAAATCGCCGACTTGGACGTGTACACCGAAGAAGCCAATCCGGTCATGGTTGGAGCCGGTGGTGAAGAAGACAAGGGTGATGTTGCGGTCAGGGCAGTGGAGGAGGTGGAGGCGGTTGTGTGATAGAAGGGAAGAAACATCGTGGCTGTAGGAGGAAGTGGGGGCGAAGCGGGAAGCGATGGAAGAAGAAGTGGAGTAAGGTACGGAAGAAGTGGAGAGGAATCGAGAGAAAGAGAGGCGAGGTGGAGGAGGAAGAAGAGAAGGGAAAAGAGAGGGAGAAGAGAAAAGGGTTTTAGGAAGGGTGTTGGATTTAGGGATGAAGAAAAGAGGACCAAGCTTAGTATTTGTCGAAGAATAAGAGAGGAGTGGCGGGTCCAATGATTTACCGATGGGGATGTAAGCCTTCCACTCTTCCGATAACTCCATCCTTTCCGACTCCACTCTTCACGGCGATGGGGCAATTCATTTTACATACAGTAATTTCGTGGCTTAATATTAAAATAGGGTAAAATACATAAATAACCACGTATCTATGGGAAAGATCGTGAAATGACCACCATTTTTAAATTTGTGACAATAATACCACTGAACTATTTAAATGGGATCAAAATAGCCACAAGACATAAACTTTTAACGGGTGTTTATGTAGCAGTTAAAAAAATTAGTATAATTAGAGAGAGGGTTTTTGTAAAATTACGTATTACTTAAAGTAAGTTTTCTATCTTAAGCATGTATTATTATTTTCTTAACGTTTATATATGTCTTATGAATGTTTATATATGTTCGAGTAAATTCTCGTTTTATCCCGAAGTTCAAAAGTAACAAATCAGCCACTAATGTTATCGATTTGTAATAAAATGGTTACTCAATTATTATCTCTGTTAAACTGATGACATGACACTGTTAATAAAAATGTTAATATTTAGTTTTACCCCTAAACTATTGCTAAAATATCAAATAAGACCTTAAATAATGATTTTTTATTTAATTTATCCCAAAAGTTTTCTAATTTATAGTTTTTTTTTCAAACTCCCCCACCACAACTATATTCAAACCACCTTCCTTACAAAACGAAAACCACACTGCATAGATAAATAGAGTTTTTCCATTAAAGACAAATACATGAGTATTTAAAGCGATATATTCAATTAATTTTAATGTAAAAAATAATGCTTTTGAGATTGGTTTTTGTTTTTATAAAGAAAGTGGTTAGAATATTTAAAGACAAACAAGAGTTTGTTTAAGTGTGATTTTCATTTTTGTAAGGAAAGTGGTTATAATATAATTGAGATGATGGAGTGTTTTAAAAAAACTAGAAATTAGAAAACTTTTGGGATAAATTAAATATAAAATCATTATTTAAGGACCTATTTGATGTTGTAGTAATAGTTTAGGGGTGAAACTAAATATTAACAATTTTATTAACTGTGTCACATCATCAATTTAACAGAGATAACAGTAGAGTGACGATATTTTACAAATTGCTAATGTTAGTTGTCAATTTGTTACTTTTGAAACTTCAGTGGGAACACAAATTTTTACTCAAATATTAGTGACCATTGGTGTAGTTTACCCAAAAATAAATTATATATTTTTTATTAGTATTTAAGAAAAACAAAAAAAAACGAAAATGTCAGTTGCTTAATAGGATTTGTGAAATCAAAATATTTATATGTTAATGAATTAAATAATTATTTTATATTTAATGTAAATGGATATTTATTTAGTTATACAGCTTAAATCGAATGATTTTGAGTTTAATTTTATCATCTAAATTTAAAAGAATTACCAGCGAGTATTGAAATGTAAAATAACAATGGTCTTCTAATAAGTTGTAAAAATATTCATTCATAAATGCCAACGAGTTTTAGAACAAGTGGTTGAGTTTAAAAAATTTGAGTTTGTAAGGCTAAGTTCGAATCTCATCACTGTCACTCTTGATAGGTCAATTTATAAAGTCCTATGTAAATCTCAATTGAAACTTAAATATAATTTGACCCTAAATCGAGAGAGTTACTCCTCACCTGAACTTTAATGTACCAAAAAAAAAACTTTTTTCATTCAGAAATTAATAGCATAATTAGTGTTCCTTTTCTTTGTCAATAAGTTATATTTTTAAATGTTTAATCTTTGGATTTTTCACAAACAATCTGCCTAATCTGCAACCGAATATATTTATTAGGCATATGTTATAAATAATTATTTAAAGTATATTATGCCATTTTCATTTAAATATTTAAAGTAAGTTTTGTCAAAATATTTAGGGTAAAGTGCACAAATGGTCCTATGACTATAGGATATTGCTTTATTGAGTCTCTTGACTATTAAAAGTTACAAAATGGTCTCTAACTATAGGGAGTTGCTTTGATGAGTCCCCCGACTATTAAAAGTTATAAAATAGTCACTCGACTATTCATTATATTCTAAAATCGTCCTTTTTCATTAAAAATTAGCGATCGTTTGAGTTGGACGTTAAAATTAAAAATATGATAATTGTTTGAGATTATGAAATCATATTTTATCATATCTCAGTCAGCAGGTACAACTCAGACTACTATATAATTTTAACATAAATGATGAGTTTGGAATATAATGAATAGTAGCTTAACCATTTTGTAACTTTTAATAGTCAAGGGATTCAGCAGAGCAACTCCCTATAGTCAGGTGATCATTTTATAACTTTTCATAGTCGAGAGACTTAATAAAATAAAATCCTATTATCGGGAGACCATTTGTGTAATTTATCCAAATTTCATTTATATACAAGGGAGAGGGAGAAAACAACACTAGTAACATCGAAGATAGGGATGGTAGCCATGTATAATTTAATGGGTTTCGCACCGTACTCACTTCAATTGGGGTAAAGATGGGTATAAGTTTAGTGGGTAGCGGGATGGTGTAGATGTAAGAAGTTATACCCGTCGTGGGTAGTAGGTAGGTAATTGGTTTGAGACCTTACCCGCCCTGCATCCACTCTCCCTGCATCTGACCGGCCCACATCCACCTGCCCGCCCACTAACTACTTATCGTATAAATTTCAGACCATTATGAATTTAGATATAATTCTATAGATTATTCTGTAAATCTTAAGATTTTATAGGATATGACTTATAATTTAACCAAATGTTATGGTATAAACATTTTTAGAATTGAAGACTGTTGTTTCTCCTATCTCAAATTGGTGGGTATGGACAGGTACAAGCAGATACAGACACGTATGAGATGGGTGGTAGGTATTCAATTGGGTAATAAGTATGTAGATGAATTTGAGAATGTATCCGTGTGGACGGTTGTAAATTTAAAATTTTTGCCATCATGAGTGGTGGATAAATAATGAATATAAAAATATTAGGTAAGTATGAGGATAGGAGAAGCGGTATCCGCACCCGCCTCATCCGTTTACCATCCCTAATCAAAGATAACTCTCAGCAGGTGCCACAGGATCCTAGGTGAAGGATTTAAGCAAGTGTGGTGGTTCTCGGATATATATATATATAATTAGTTCCTTCAAGCTTAGCGATTACAGATGGTCGATCATATATATCCGCTTGGGATAAAATCATCATATCATTGGATGATAGTGAAAATGATGGGAATATTGAAAATCATATCCATTCTGGACAAGTCTTATACAATAATGGAATGAAAATTCTCTTGTGAATTTTCAGCACCTGTGATGGTCATGGCCTCATGATCAAAACTCTCCTTGTTACCTTTATCTACTCCATCGATTAACGGCGATGGCGGCGACTTGTAATCCTTGCTTTTACTCCACAGCACCAGATACAGACCCCCAATTATAACGATAGCTCCAACCACCCTGTAAAACACATTTTATCATCTTTTCTTTTGCTTTTTACCGGTATTTATCGACCGACCGAGTACTTCCTGAGGGTCGTGACCGGTTGATATGAATTTAGAGAATACCTTCCCAGGAACATTTGTTCAGCCAGAACAAAAGAGGACATGATGGCTACAATAACCATGCATAGGGGACTAAAAGCCGTCACAAACACTGGACCTCTGTGTTTCATTATCATCCCTTGAATGTAATAGCTAAGTCCTGAACATACAATGCCCTGCAACCACTCAAAAGCAAAATGAAATAAGAACTAATTGGACTCTGAAACATGTCGATAATCCATTTGCTGTTCCGGTCTGAAATCGAAAGAACTGATCGGACTAAGTTACTGGTTCGGGTCGCGGTAAACAATCGATCGGAAACTAGTCTTACACTGTATGCAGCAGTGAGCAACTTGGTGTCCCATTTAATAGCCCAAATGGAAGCATTTCCCTTCTCCATCACCAAAGCTGCAATGGTACCTTCAAGGGTGCCCGCTAGACATATCCAAACTGTAAGAGAAAGGTCTGCAGGATATGTATCCAGAGTGATTGCCTGGGACAAAACACACATTACCCATATCATAATTGAACATATAACACTGCAGAATTTTCTATATATGGTACTTACTTGGAGAATGACGAAACAAGCATAACTGAAGCAGCCAACTGTGATCATCAAGCCGCCTTTAATCGAATCGTGGAGATCCGTCCTGTTTTTTGCCGCTGCTTCATGGTTGATGCTTCCCTTCGTCCAAAACAATTCGATCGCCGGTCCTTTCATCAGCGTCATCACCATCGCTCCTGCAACCGTTGCAAGCGTTCCTATAAGCTTCCCATGGCTACGGATCGATCTGAAGTTCACCTTCTCAAGCCTAAAACCACATGATCAAACTTTTACACATATGGTATGATCGAAGCCATTGATTTTTACAGATTTTTTTTTTTATTTCTGGTTGTACCTTAAGATCCAAGCCATAACGAAAGTAATGGCAGGAAGAATGTTGTACATGGCAGTTGCAAACGTTGCAGTCGTATATTTCATCCCAAGATAATACAAGTTCTGATCAATTACCGGACTGCCAAAGCACATATGTCAACATTAAACGTTACCATACGATGCAAAAACAGAACACTGAAGTAATTTCGAAATTCGGATAGGTTACTCGAGAAAGCCAAGCAGCATTATTTTGATGAAGATCGATAGTGTCATCTTAGGCCTCACTTTCCTATCAAACAAAAAGGTTCCAACTTCCATGTCAGTTAAAAAAAATGCTTTGCACGAACGTTCTTATCGCAGAGAGATCGAAAGAAGAAACGATACTTGTTGAGAAAAGCCGCAAAAGGAGCCATGACAACGGTGGCAATGGCAAGTCGGTAAACGACGAGTGCGTAAGTGCTCATACCCTGGTTTAATGCCGTCTTGGACAAGATGTCCATCCCTGCGTACCCAACTTGCAACAAAACTGCAGCCACAAATGGCTTATACTTGCCCGATGATGAACCATGTTCTTGGTTCTCCATTCTTGTAATGATAACAAGTCTGGATTGAGTTTTCTTGTAATACAAGAAACAGAAAAGTTTAGTTAGGTGATGAACTCGTGAGGTATTTTCTGGTATTTGTTTCTTGCTATTTATATTGTGAAGTTGATCCCCTTTGGTACTAAATTTCTTAGTATCGATACTAACCTTTCAATATAGGTAACCACTTTTGGTACGGATATCAATTCAACATTCTATATATGATCTGAAAAGGCCCAATAGTATTAATACTGTTATATGGAGTATCGGTACTTCTCTATTAGGGTATTGATATCATCTTGAGTACCAATACCAATTATAGATTTGATGTTTAAGAAAATGAATCAGTATTGATACCCTTACTTAGGGAATCGATGCCTCTTCTTTAACATTAAAACTAATATTAAAGAACTATCTTTAATAGATATATAATTTAACGAACCTAAAGTTCTATAACGTATATTAAAGTAGTATTAAATTAAGGTACTTCAAATATAAATTATTGCATTAAAAAATTCTTAAATGTACGAATCAAGTTACCTCGGTGATTAAAAAGATAAAAGTTATCTTCAGAGATTTTAAATTTGAACTTAATATTGTCATGGGCTGCCGTTTAGACAGAAAGACGCAATCGTGTCTCTAAAAATCGTAAATATTTTTTTATTAATGATCTAATTTTACACTTTAAAAATTTAAGAGTTTGTAACCTTAAATTTTTAATAACTTTATCGTGATATTTGTAGATGAGATGTGAGTGCTGGTCTTTAATGTGTTCTTTCGTAGCTTTGCGTGGTGGATGAGTTGTTGTATTTGCAAGTTTTCCCCAAAAGTTTATGTTTAAATAGTGTTTCGTGACTGATTTGCATTGCTCCATTGCATATAATCAAGGATGTATCTAAGCGGGCCAGATAGGGCGTTCGCCCCTCCTGAAAATCTAAAATTATTATATATTTTATATTTTTTTTATGTATTTTCTATTGAAAATATATTTTCATCCTCCTAAAATTTTATAAGTTAAATTTACCCTTAACTTAAAATCATGTGTCCGTCCTGAGATATAAGTTAGTAGGTTGCAATTAATTAAATTGATTGATTCCACCCTCAGTTGAGTGCCTTTAGACATCCACTCTCACATTACATCCCCCTCCAATATGCTATCAAGATTGGGTTTTCTTTTTCTTTATTTTATGTCAAATTTATAATTCAGATTTGAAATCTATGATTATCCTTATGAGGTATTCGCTTATGCACATTCCACTCGTCGAAAAAGAGAACGAAATTGCTTTGTACTGAAAATCATGCTCCACTATTGATCAAAATAAAGATAACTTGAGATTGTTTTTTCTTTTGATCCAACCTCAAAACCTGTCATATATACGAGGGACGGACACATGAATTTATATTAAGAATCATCTTAAACTTTTAAACTTATAAAATTCCAGTGAAAATATATTTTCAATAAAAATTTATAGAAAAAACTAAAATACATAATAATTTTAAAATTTCGAGGGAAGGTGGCACGACTGCCCCCACCATTAGGGATGGCAATGGGTCGGGTCGGGTCGGGTTTTTGGGCCACCCGACCCGACCCGAGAAGAAAGGGTTCTCCACCCGTGACCCGACTCGATCCGACAAAATTAATGTTTCACCCGACCCGACCCGACCCGACCCGAATAATAAAAAAAATTAATTCAATGAAAATAGTGACTTAATTGAAAAAAATTATATATGGAGGGATATTATTGTAATTATCCCTAAATATATAAGATAAAATTATATATATTTTCGGGTCGGGTCGGGTCGAAACCCGTCAGATTCAGGTTGAGTTGCCATCCCTACCCACCATCCCCATGGGTCCATCCTTACATATACCTTTCCTTGCTTTTATTGTTCACTTGCTTTTTGTTGTTGTTGAATTCTTCAAAGGAAGGAGGACCGATCCACTTTTTTGTTCACTTGTTTTTGTTGAATTTTTCAGAGGAAGAAAGATCGATTCATAGTGAGAAAAAAAATCTTGAAGTGCAATTGATCAGAAGAATACTTTATTTTTTATTTATTTTTTTGGTAAAGAAAGAGCAAATTACAGCATATTAAGCACACACAGTACTGCTATCATCTTCTCGTAAAGCTGCATAAATCTCCACCGGGGGTTGACGAACTTCAAGCAATCATAAGTATTGTCAGTCGCCATCTTTGCCAACAAATCCGCTACCTTATTTTCGTTTCGAGAGCCATACCGTAGTTGCACCGTCCATTCACGTCGTAACATTGTTGCGATGTAATTCAATAGTATGATTCTATTACCATCCTCCGAAGCTGCTTTAATGAGATCCAGTGCCTCCACACTATCCAATTCCAATATAATCTGTTTTTCCTGTAATTCCCAAGCGCATAAGAGCCCCATGAAGGCTCCCAAAATTGTATGTTTATTTTATATGTATCCTTCTCTTTTCTTTTTTATTAAACAAAAGTGATTATAAAGTGATATATGTTCTAAATACTAACTATTTGACAATGAACGCTCAACCAACCTGTTATAGTCGTTGGTGTTCCAACTCGGTTACCTCTAGGAATAACAACGATTCTTTTAACAACTAAGTAAGTTGATTCATGCTGTATTATTCTCTTTTCTTTTTATTTATTTCATGAATAAACAAAATTCTTCAACTTTCCCATTACTCGTGTGTGTGTATATCGATAGATAATTTTTTTTATATATAACTTACTCATGTAATTTTTTAAAATTTATTTAACATATTAATTATGTTGATATCTTAAATATAAAGTTATTATAAAATTTAGATGATATATCAGAAATGATTTTATGAAATTTATATAAATATTTTAATTTAATATTAAAACTTAAACTTGTTAAAAGGAAAATATATCACAAATATAATTTAACAAAGTTTATTCCAAACAGTCTTATGTTCCTTAAACCAAATATTATAGTAATCTTATATTCTTGTCAAATAAATCAAAAACAATAACATATACAGTATTTTTTAATAACATGTATACATCCAAAAACCATAAACCAAACTAACGTGCACTATTCAATTCATGGAGCATGGTTGTGTTTCGTTGTGCACTTTAATGAAATGTGGGTTTTGCTTAAAGATAATCTAGACGTGTTACTTGTGGTCGTAAAGCAATCTTAAAAGATCTCTCATAAAACCAGAGCAAAAAGGTGAAGGAAAGCAGACCTTCCTTCTTCCAGTAAGGCCAGACTTACTATTTCAGTATTGTCTTCCATTAAGCTCTACATTCGGTGATAGTCCGATTCGGATATAGTGTGAGCCATGCCCCCCACAGGTCCCAGGAGGAAGGATGCATTTTTTCTTACCTATTAGACGGGACCAGGGTTGTATGCATAAATCAATCGAGCCCTTGCAACGTCTAAGCCATATTCTTACCTATCTATTGAATGAATATTTTCAAGGCAGTAATCAATCGATCCAAACCAGCGTTTTACCTTGAGAGGTAAACGATTAGCTTGAACTCGATGTGTCGGTTCAATTAAGCACCAATTCCTGGCACCATTTCCATAACGCTCACCAAATTACCTAGGAAGTTCTTAGTTCCAAATACCAAATATCAAAATGGTAGGCACGTCTGCTTTCAAGCACGTGATATTTTGACAAATAATCTACTATAATTTAATTTTGCAAAATATCAAGGATCTAGCATTTCACACCAAAGAGTTGCAGATGTAATGATTTCAAATAATGGTAGGCGGGAGAATATAAACAAAATAACTGTAACAAATTGGTTTTCCCCGGATCAAAATGGCACCCTAGGGAAGAAATGTACCCTTCAGATCTCGTCCTTAGTTCAAGCCCCGCAGCAAGATGATTTTTGAGCAGCTGCCGCAGATCCAGCTCCCTGGTCTTGTTGGCTAATTTTGATTGTCTGTGGCTGTAAAAATGAAGAAAAAGACGCTATAAATGAAAACAATATACGTACATGAATTACCATAAATACCACAACCATGCATATGCTAAAGAAATGGATTTTGCATAATCAAAAGTTGATACTTCAAGCAAAAGAATCCATACCTCAGCCTTTGAGTCAGTGTCGACAAGCCTTTGCTTAATGTCCCTGGCTATTGAAAAGAAAACCTCCTCCACATTTAAGTTTGTTTTTGCACTCTGCAAGATAAGAGGAACTCATGATCGTACAGGAAAGATCAACTAAACAGCAAAAATAACTACAGTATCAGCAAAAAATTACATACAGTCTCAAAGAACTTGATGCCATATTCGTCAGCAAGAGCTTGGCCCTTTGAGGTAGGAACAGCCTGAAAAATAAGTTCTGGATCAACTTAAGAAAAATTTCAAGCCCAGTATCAGAAACAGAAGGGTAACAAAAATGCATGTGAAGACAAACAATCAAACACACATATGCACTTTTTTCTAAAAGGTGGAAGAGAAGAAAAGAACATACCCGTTTGCTTTCATCCATGTCAGCCTTATTACCCACCAGAATCTTGTTCACGTTGTCCGAAGCATGCTGTTCAATATTACGAATCCAATTTCTAATGTCTGAGAAAAATGAATATTAGTTGTGTTGACAGGATAATTATGATGGAGAAAGACTAAAATTTCAAATCACTGGATAAGGAGCATACATTACAGGAAACTGAAAAGTTCCAGGAAAAATTAGGTCGAAAACATTTGTCAAGATTCAAAGTAGGAAAGATTAAACACCAAATGTATAAAAATACTAAGTTCAAAAGATCAAAGTTCGGTAATTACTATTGAAAGATGATTCATCAGTCACGTCATACACAAGCAAAATTCCCATGGCTCCACGGTAGTAAGCTGCACAAAAAGAAAATGTTAATTAATTTTCTGTCAATAAGAAAAGACTCTAAAAGACTGTAAAATCAGGATGCAATGGAGAGAGTAGAAACTTGGAGCTACCATGACCATCCCAAAAGGACAAAACTAGATAAGTATTAAAAAAAGAGAGAAGCAAGCAACCATGTTATGTAAACATGATGTTTATAACCACCTAAAAATGATAATAATAATAACAGCAAGAATCCAGAAAATATGAAAGGATATGCATCCAGGGAACCAAAAAAGTTTTCAGTTCTAACATCTGTTCTTTGTAATTTAATTTCCAAGTCCTGCCGTACAATTCCAAAGAAGGGAAATTGATGGAGATGAAAGCGTAAGAGAAACAAACCCTTGAAGCATACAAACTCCTAGTCCTAACTTGGCTCCTAACTTCCTAGGAGAGCCAAAAGGCCCAAAAACAAAGAAAGAGAAGACAAAGCAACAACAACCTTGAATCAGAGATGTTATTAAATTTGAGAATATTAGAGTGAGAACAAATGATAACTCACATCATACGACAACACTGCAAATGACAAGTTTATTCGATTGAATTACTCAATCTTTCAGGTAAGTTATTATTATGTTAGACAATTCATTTCTAGTTAGTGACACCTTCAAAGCCCAAAAACTAACCAGTTGTAATTGTGCGAAACCGCTCTTGTCCAGCAGTATCCCAAATTTGCAACTTGATCCTTTTCCCATCAAGCTCTATAGTCCTTATCTTAAAGTCAATTCTGCCAAGGGAAACACAACCTTATTAAACGACATGCCTCTTGTAAAATAATAATAATAACAACAACAACAACAACAACAATAAGACCACTACACAGCTACTGGATAACACCTACCCAATTGTCGTGATAAAACTTGTAGTAAATGAGCCATCCGAAAAACGCAAAAGTAAGCAACTCTTGCCCACACCTGTCCAACCACAATAGCATAACAGAGTTGTTTGGAACTCATATTCAAAAGAAAGTGCAGATTTCCAATAAAATTTCCTTCAAGAATTACTACAATATCAACCATTAAGCCCAAATTGCAAACAACTAAATCTATTTCCAGCAGCCAATCCCTTGAAATAAGAAAAGGTTATCCATCCAAACGTACAAACCAAGTAAGGCTCAACCTTCATATCCACCTAAATATCCCCTAGGTTAGCGAGCTATATTAACAAAGAGTACCTCAATAAATACAACCTAAAATATAATACCAAGGATGCCATATTATAGATTCAACATAAAATCACTAAAACAGACAATATTGTTCCCATTCAACCTCACTTATGGCAATAAAGTCAACGCACAATGATAATCTATGAATCTAAAACGAAGCCTAATCTAAGCTAGTGAGCTCGAAATAAACATCACATCCTCGCATCGCATCTAAGCTTTCTGCATTTAGAAAATCAACACAAAAAATCAAATCCTTTTCGGGAACCCATACATTTCCAAAATCAGTGTAGATTAAAGAGTAGACCTCATCTCAAATCAAGATATATATATATATATATACACACACAAAGAAAATAAATAGTTACCGCTGTCGCCGATCAAAAGAAGCTTTATGAGGTAGTCGTAATCAGCTCGAGCTCTTGCAGGTGGAGCAGCCATGGAAATAGAAGGAATTTATCGAAACAAACAACAAACCCTACACCCCAAAAAAAATCGCTGTTATTAATGCACTGCAAAAACGAGAGAGAGAAAGAGAATATTTAAATTGGGTAAAGTACACAAATGGTCCCCTGATTAAAAGATATTATTTTATTGAATGTATTAGTTATTAAAAGTTATAAAATAGTTCATCGACTATAGGTAGTTATTTTGTTGAGTCCCTCGGTTGTTAAAAGTTACAAAATGATCACCCAACTATTTATTATGTTCCAAACTCGTCCTTTTTCGTTAAAATATTAACGCTCATATGAATTGGACGTTAACATGTTTACTGAGATATGATAGTCGTTTGAATTATGGTATCAGATTTTATCATATCTCAGTTAGCATGTTAACGTACACCTTAGACTTCCATCAAAATTTTAACGAAAGATGATGAATTTGGAACATAATAAATAATCGACTGATCATTTTGTAACTTTTAATAATCAAATGACTTAAAAAAATAATTCTCTATAATTAAAAGATCAATTTATATTTTTAATAGTTGAAGTAATTAATAAAGTAACATCATATAGTCATGACGATTTATGTACTTTGTCCATTTAAAATTTACTTGAAAAATTAAAAAGAACGCAATACTGATTAAGGGAAGAAAAGTGAGATTTGGTGAAGTGTCTATGGAACGTCAGCACCGGATGGCTATCAAAAAAAGCTTTGTTTTTCATTTTTTTTCTTAGAGAAAATAATTTTGAAGAAATAAGTTATTGGATTTGACACCCAAGTTTCAACCGTTTGATTAATATAATTTGACATTACCGATTAAATCGTTATTTTAAAACATAAGTGAAGAAAAAAAGAAATTTACTCAAACATAAGTATTAATATAATTTGACATTACCGATTAAATCGTTACTTTAAAACATAAGTGAAGAAAAAAGAAATTTACTCAAACATAAGTAACAATTTATGTAGTTTACTCTTTTGTTAATTCGTCAACAAAGAGAAACGGTGGATAGAAGAGAATGAGTTGGCCTTCTCGTCCTTCAGCTGTTACCATTGTTATCAAAATCGGACCGGATCGGTCGGTTCAACCGGTTGAACCGTGAACCGGTGGCATGTTCGGTCCGATTACCTCACAAAATTGGGTTAGCAATGAACCGGCTGAAAACCGATAGAACCGGCTGAAAACCGGCAAAACCAGTTTGAACCACCTGTTCACTTTTTTCTTTAAAAAAAATTAAACCAAACGACGTCGTTTGTTCAACGAGCCAAGTCAAATTCGAGTATTGTTGAGCTCGACTCGAACTCGAAAACTTTAAAAGTAAGCTCAACTCGACTAAAAAACTCACGAGCTAAAAATTATCAAGTTCAACTCGAACTCGAAATATAATATTAAAACTTGAACTCGAAAAGGATCGAACTAAAAAAAATTTAGAAGTTCGATTGAAGCTAAAATTTGAGCTCAATTGAAGCGAAAGAATAATTCGCTCTGTGCTCACCAAAAGGCTCCATGATTTTGAATGTCAAATTACCTTTATTATTTATAGAAGTAAGTTGAGATGCTCTTCTATGTTTCTTAGCCATGTGGAATTGTTTTGTTCTCATATTTTTACTCTTTAAATTTTTGGGATGCTCTTTTATGTTTCTTAACCATGTGAGATTGTTTTTTTATAAAAAAATTAAACTAAATGACATCATTTGTTATGATTTTTTTAAGTCCCAATTTTATTTTTTTGATTATAGTTATATAATTATATTTATTATTTAATATGTTTTACCTTAAATATTATGTTGTAGTTGATTTGAATCATTTTGTTTCACTTGATTTTATGATTTTTAATTTATATATGTTATGACTTGTGATATTTTTATACCTTTTAATATTGTAAACTTAAAAAAAGTGTTACATATATATTAATATTGCTTTGAATATTATGTAAAATTAAAAAAAAAATTTATATAAAATCCGGTTCAACCGCGGTTGAACCCGGTTGAATCAGTGAACCAATACTTTCACCGGTTCAATGTCCGGTCCGGTTTTAAAAACATTGGATGTTACTCAAACGTCGACGATAAATACGATAGACAACAAAAAAAGAGGAAAAAAAAACATATATTGCCCTTAAATTGAATTATATTAATTAAGAAATTAATTTGCATGTGTTGTTTTTTAAAAAAAGAAAATATACTTTGATAAAAGAATTAATTTCTCCCCACAGTATATAATATATTTATGCTTACTCATGTATTCCCATTCAACCAATTTTGTGAATCTCGAAAGATGTTTGAACTGTTATTTTTGTCTTTGGATCAAAAAACAGTGTCACCTATGAACATAGAATCGCATAATCGAAAAAGTAAAATAAGGTACTATACTTATTAAAACAGATTAGATTAACTTAATCTCATGTCTATAGTGACACATTAAGACATCAAACTTAATATAAAAACAAGTACGATGACATTTCATGCTCGTTTTCATTAACAAGAATTATTACATACAATTTCGAAAGTATTGTACTTTTAAATTTTGGGACAAATAATATCAATCGTCTTCTTAAAATTGTAATAACTATATCATTCTAACATGTAACTTAGTTTATTTTTCAATAGATGTGGTTTAAAAATATTAAAAAAATAAATAAAAACAAATATATCGATGTCTGCGTCTTGAATGTATTCCACATGGCTGTGGTTGTAAACTTCGATGAGGATTTCTTTGTATAAATTGCTATTCCTCCTCACTCTCATCATCAGCAGCAGCAGCAGCAGCAATAGCAACTACATTTTGTTGATGAGGGACGGATAACGATGTGGCACCTCCATAGAATAAAGACCCTTGAGGTATATGACTAATCATCCCATCGCTCATAAAAATTTGTGAAAACTGCGAAAACATTGACATCGATGAATTTGAAAACTTAGTCGAAGGTGTCTACGTCTCTGGTGAAGCATCACCCGTCAAATAAGTAGTATATGAAGACTATGCTAGATCTATAAGTATGGGAGTATATCAGTTAAGAGGTGTCATAAAACCCTACGGTGGTGGCACCTGAAATGGATGCAGTGGCATCATAAATGGATGTGGTGCCATATGAAATGACTGTGGTGACATCTGAAACGGCTGCGAAATATAAACCAGTATATGTTGTGATGCTTCTGGTGCTGCAGCTGAGGACGAGTCGGAAGCGTCTGCTCTCAGTCCAAGAGTCGGGGGATGATGATGTTGTTACGGTGGACATTTTTCTCGACGCCAATAAATGCTCCTGCCTCGTGCTTTCTCGAAAAGTAAGAACGATTTTCCGTTCGTGTTGAACCACTGATAATAGTCATCCGCAATCAAATAATGATCCATATAGATTGGCTCCTTATGAGGAATGCATCCATGTCGATCCTCCCAGATCATTACCCACTCGATGTGCCTCATCAACCAATTGACTTTTTTTACCCCGTTTATCGATGTTATGCATATTGTCGAGATTCATAGGTGCATCACGAATAGATTGTACGAAACCAAATTGACAGAACTCTCGATCAATATCATAACATATCAGAGAGACCATGGTTATCCATACATTTAATGAGTCACTCAAATGAGGTGGGATGCAACGCCTCATATCTTCAGTAAAATAAGGAGCCCATTGAAACTAAAACAAATATATATAATTCTTATCAAAATAATATTCTAATTATATAACGATAATTAAAGGTAAATAATAAAATTTAAATTCATACCTATGTACCAGCCTTTTGATCAACGAGCAGTCGAATTTTTCCAATTCGTCTGATATATCACGGTGGTCTTGTATTATATATGATCACCTATTCAGTGTAAAAAAATTCATTATACACTCAAAAAAATCATTTATATACAAACTTGGTATTGAAATTACATCAACAATAATGGGAAAACTAACAGGTTTTTCACGACCGGACATAAAAAAGGGCATGCGGTATCACTCCCATAATTGCAGAAGAATGAGACATCCACAGATAACATTTTTTCAATAATAAGTTTTTTCGACATATTTCTCTATACAGAGATGCCAAAACCACGAAGCCCCAACTGAATGAGCTGACATCTCAAAAATCTACGAGATTACTCAACCACATACAATGAACTTGGTTGCGAGATTTATCAGGCATCAAGATCCCTCATATGAGTTGCAATATGCAAGCCCAAGCAAATATTTGGGCATGTTCCTCGTAACAGTAGTCACTCAACTGTCGAAAATTTCTAACCAACCATGATAACGGTATTCAACCACCGTTGAAATTATGCAGAATACCTCCATGATACTCCTCGCACAAGGAATGCTAATCACCATCCTCCATACCAGAAATAACATCCCCATCTACCAAAAGCCCCAAATGTAAGGAAACATCCTCAAGCGTAATAGTGCACTCCCCATACAGAAGATTGAATGTGTGTGTCTTTGGTCTCCACCTCTCAATCAGTGCAGAAATAAGGTTGGATTCAAGGTTACAATGCCCTTCATATTTCACTATGTAACCGAATCTAGCCTGAGCTAAATACGACCAAACATAATTCAGTATCTCTAATTTAGCGTTACGAGTAAATGGATCTAATAAACGGTCGTTCACTTAATTAAATAAATAATATACAAATTAAAATATAAACTTATACAAAAAAATAAATTAATAAAACATTCACAATAAATAAAATAACATAATTTAAAATTATTACCGTATCAACAAAATGACTCGATATATACTTCTCATCTAAAAACATCAACATGCCTGTCATTTTATAACTGCAAAAAGTAATAAAAAATTAGTACAATAAATAATAAATTATTAAATGATTATAATATAATAAAAATTTAGCTTCTAAAAATAATAATTGTACTTACTTAAAACTTAATAGAATGATATAAACAAGGAAGAAATATAGTGTTTTTGTGTGTGTTATGAGTGTTGGATGAGGGGGTATTTATAGGGGAGGGGGACGGGGTTGGGTGATATTTAAGGTGGGACATTTGGGATTTAAAGCAAAGACCCGCTTCATGATCCGTACTTTACCACCGTGGTACCAGTTCAGATAGAACCCTGCAAAGGCGCACCTCATGATCCGCACTTTGTCAAAAAGAGTGCTAGATCGATAATATTTAGAGAAAGAGTGTCTGACAAGTAATATTTAACTGTTAGGGTGATTTTTAGATAAAACTACCATATTTAGTCTTATCAGTTAAACTAATTATTTCGCCATTAAGTTGTAGTGTTAATTTTATTATGAACAAACATTAAACAAATTGTTTTGTCAATTAAATCATCAACATTTCATTTCGTAGTTAATTAAATCATTGATTTTTAAAAATTTAACAGAAATAATAACATGATTCGATATAATAATAACGAAAGTCTTTAAAATTTATACATTATATCAATTTGATAATTTATAATAATAATGATAGTTTTTAACCGGATGCACGATTGCTACATTTATATATTGACAAAGCACAAAACGTTTTTATGTCGAATAGACTCATCACCGATATAATAAGGGAATCTATCAACTTTTGGTATTGATATTTATTTATGGGATTAATATCAAAATAAGTGCTCAAACTATCTATTTTTCTTAAATAGATACCTAAAATATTTTTTTACTCAATCTGGTGTCAAACATTTTCTCCGTTACTATTTTAGGTACCTACATGTTAA